GCTAGGGAGCTGGAAGCCAAGCGCCCCTCCCCAACATTTTACGACCTTTGGGCGTAAAGGGACCTCCCATGTAGGGATTTGGGGAGCAGGCGGTGGAGGGGGAGGCGGCTCTCACACTGCAGCGATCCCCTCCTCCGTCGGAGGCAGGAGATGCTCTCTGCCGCTCACGAGGCCTCATCACGGCACGGCGACTGGGCGGCTGTTCGCTTCAAACCTTCCCTCCTTTTCTTCTGCCCCCCCTCCCTCTTAGCCTGACGCAAGGGCGTCTTTTTGGAAACCGGGCTGCTCCCGAGACACCGCTCAGCCTCTTGCCCGCAAGGAAACAGACGCCTTCCAGCCCCGCGCTTCGAAAACGGGGCCTAGCTGGATCCATGTTTTATGCTTAAAATAATCCTCTAAGTGCAGGATTGATTTCTTTCCAGTAACGAGACAAGGTCTCTGCAACGTTTGTGTTCGTTAACAAATTCTGTAGAAACGTTGGATTTGTCAGTATTGTATAGTACTACAGTCTCCAGGCCATGAAATGGGCTATAGTAATAGGCAGCCAGACCCCATGTAAAGGTCAATATACTTAATGAAATGAATAGAGCTAGGTGCGTCTAATCCTGCAAAGGACTGGACTGCCAAATGTGTCTCAGTCCATTCTAGAGTGTGTGTAGGGATTTGTGTGTAAAGTGTGTGTGTGTGTGTGTGTAAAGTGTTGTCAAGTGGCAGCCAACTTATGGCATCCCCAGCAAGGGGCTTTCAAAGCAAGTGAGAAGCAGAAGTGGTTTGCCCATTGCCTTCCCCTGCAGAGTTTTCCTTGGTGGTCTCTCTTCCGAGTACCCACACTGCTTAGCTACTGAGATCTGATGAGATCAGGCTGTACCAGGCTACCTTCCCTCCCATCCTAGAATTCAGCTGCCTTAAAAAGGAAGGTGCAAAGTAATGAGTTTTTAAGTTTCTGCCATGATGGCATATTTTGCTTTAGTTCTGTTGGCACAAGTGAAGCCAGCTTTAGATAATGGTCTTTGGGATTTCAGCCAAAGCACCTTGATCTCTCATCAGCTTTAGAACACCTACTAGGAGGTTGGTAGCCTCACCCGGAGCATGTCAGAAGCCCTGAAAGTGTGTCAGATCCTGGCATGATCACACATGCTGAGGGACACACCGGCCTGCTCAGTAGGCTCCCGAGTAGCCCCATTACAGCCAAAACAAACAGGTCTGAAAGACAGTTTGCCATAAGGCCTTTTTGTTTTCAGTAATATCTTGAAAGAATTTACACACATTCCTTTAAAAAGGTGAAAATTAGAAACATATTAAATGCATTTCAGCAAAGCTTCTGATTTTGCTGCATTTACTCCCAGGGATGCAAGATGCTGAAGGAGTTAATTGGCATAATTTTCTGTAGGGCAGAAAATCCAGAATCTGTTTCCTACAACACAAAGTAGTAAACCCTTCTATGCTCAGTGGGGAGCCGTAGCCAGTCCCACACATCTTATGGATCTTTGCTCTGCGTATGTACACTTGAAAATGTAATGTGTGGTGCTGTTATAACACTGGTGGAGCCTGGGTGCATGGCTCCCTCCCTCCCTCCCATGGGAGGGCTGGAATCTATTCTTAAAAGGGGAAGGTGAAATGCTCAGGGCATTGAGTGTGGTTCACTTCCCACAAACAGTGAACATGAGCAAGTAACGAAAACAAATGAAAGCAACATGCAGAGGGCACGGCCACTAGATATAACGATGAACGGTGGAATAACATGATAAAACACTACCAGACCAATGTTAATACTAATGCATCTTTGCTGAGAAAGGTTGCAGAAGCCTGACCCCAGTGATGGAGCCTAAAGTTATTAGTACACTGTGCTTCATTGTTAAAGTATTTGGAACTTAATGTTGACAGAAGTATGGCACTCGTTGAGATGGCCCTTGACCTTTGATGGATGTCAAACTGATATCTTGGTGGGAAAGACATTTCCTGTATAAAACTTCAGTTTGTGCAGCACTGATTTTTTTGCCTTCTCTGTTGCTTCTCATTAGATGACAGTTGCAGCAGTATCATGAGCCATTGCCTTGAAAACTGCTGTTTGTGCAGCATGTTCAGGATTTGCTGGCAGCTCCTTAACTGTACTAGTGAGTCTCGCATGGATCCACAGCTGTTTATGTAAGTTGTTGCTATGGTTTCATGCATCTTAAAAACTGCATAAGCTTTTTATTCTCTACCCTTCCCCCCAGTTCCCCCAGAAGGCAGTAGCAAAGACTATTGCATGCCAGCTGCAGGACTTGCAATGCCAGCCAAATTGGTGTGAAAAGGAGCTACAGTTCTTTTACAGGTCACACCTGCGGCCATTTTTTATCTGACTTCTTGTACTGAGAAAGCCCCTGGACCTTGTGCTACTCCTCCCCTGACCACCAATGCCCCTCCTTTACTGCTGTGTCCAAACCACATCTGTTCCCTTGGTAAAGAAACATTCCCTTTCCAGCACGCAGGGTTAACAGAAGATACACATGGAATCTGATGCATGCACTGGTCTGTAGTGGATCCTGTGCCAAGCAGGACTTAGTCTCAGCTGCAGTGTGGATAAATGAAGATAAGAACTAAGTAAATGAGCAGTGTTAACTGGCTGTTTCCTGACCTGGCTAGCTCATGGAAGCTAAGTGGGGTTGGGACTGGGCAGTATTTGGATGGGAAGCCACCAAGGAATACCAGGGTTGTGAAGCAGAGGCACCACCACCTCTGAATGTCTCTTGCCTTGAAGACTCCACCAGGGGTTGCTATAAGTCAGCTGTGACTTGACAGCAACCCCCCCCCCCAAACAAACAAAAAACCAACTGACTGTCCTGTTTCGTAGGCTAAAGCTAAATCTATTTCTGACTCTCTTCAGAGGAAGAAGAGCAAGAAAAAGCTGAAGAAAAGGCTGAAATTAAGGAACCTGAAAAGAAGTCTGCAGGGAAAGAAAGGAACAGTTCAACAAGTCATCAACCTGGCAGCTCTCCAAGTCGCAGTGCCTTGACCAGCCGAGGGGACAGACGACAAGCAAAAAGTCCTCAAAGGACAGAAAGACCAAAGGGAGCAAAACACCCATTTGCTTTGTATGGCTGGGGAGAAAAACAGACTGATACGGGCAGTCAGAAAACTCACAATGTCTGTGCATCCGCCTCAGCCAATGAAGTAAGCCAACTTTAGCTATGTGCTTATGATTGATTTCTTCTCTAAAATCTTCCCCCACCCCACCCCCCAAAAAAGTTCCTCATCACTATTCCAGGCTGTTTCTGGTCCCTGCATTTCCTGTCTTGGCCCGCATAATTTTTGCAGCCTAAAGCTAGAACTCCCCTTTTGTCCCTTTGTGCCATTATTATCTTGTTCAGCACAATAGCTGATTGAGAACTGATCCAGCCACTACTCTCCATCAGTGTTCCCTCTAGGCTGAGTTAGTGTGAGCTAGCTCACTGCTTATTAGCTTCCGGCTCACACATTTTTGTCTTAGCTCAGGAAGGATGGCTCCAGAGCAAATTAATTTATGCAGTAGCCAAATCGCTCGCTCACAACTTTAATGCCAGTAACTCACAAAGCAGAATTTTTGCTCACAAGACTCCACAGCTTAGAGGGAGCATTGCTCTCCATTGTCATGATTTTGCCTCTGACTTCCTCCCCCTCTGCCTGCGTGCCCAGGGCTGCTGGTGGAGATCGGAATCAGAGTCCTGCTCACTAACTGCCTGCCGCAGCACATGCCTCATGGTCATTCTGAATTCATGCCCCGCAGATCGCTGCCTTTTTTTTTTTTTGCCATTCTCCATAATGGGAACCATGTTAGAAAGGTGCCTAGTGTAGCAAGAATTCACTTATCCCATTGAGGGACTTGTGTATATAGGACCATAGTGGAATGCCTGGTTTACCTGGAACTCCATATGTTATGGAATGGAATATCATAGTTAGTTCTGCCCTTGAAATCGGAGTGATGTCAGTCTGTACATAACTACACTTTTATGTTGACCATAAGTGAAGACGTGTGCTTGGCACGCGAAAGCTTATACCTTGAATGAAATTGAGTTGGTCTTAAGGGTGCCACTGGACGCAAACTTTGTTCTGCCGCTTCAAGCCAACACGGCTACCCCATCTATTGAATAAGGGTACAGTTCTGAAGCTAAATCTAATCTAGTCTTTTTTTTACAGATTACATTGAATTGTGCTTGCTGACACGGATTTAATGCAAAGGTGTTTTTTCTCTCTGTTTCTGGCTGCCATTTCAGTGCTGCTGTGGAAGGAGCTCTCCTAGAAACATGGCCTATTCTTTATCTGAGGGAAAGATTAATCTTTATAAAAACAGCAGGCAGTTAGCACCAAGTGCCCTGAGACAGAATGAGCTCGAATTTAGCAATGGCCCAAAGGCTCTTGGGACTTGAGTGACCTTGGAAAGCTGTAAGTTCTAACTAAAACGCTGCCCCTTTGATATGTTGGATTTGACAAAGCTTGTTCTTATACTGCTGACAGAATTATGGGAGAAATCAACGGGGCCTCTGATTAAGCCAAAGTGAATTTAGGCAGGATTAGACCATTGAAACATTGACCTGGATTGCCCAGGCTAGCCTGACCTTGTCAGATCTCAGAAGCTAAGCAGGGTCAGTCCTTATTAGTATTTGGATGGGAGACCACCAAGTAATGCCAGGGTTGCTATGCAACGGCAGGCTCTGACAAATCACCTCTGAACATCTCTTGTCTTGAAAACCCTATGGGGTCATCACCAATGCTCCCTCTAAGGTGTGGAGTCTTGTGAGCAAAAATTCTGCTTTGTGAGCTACTGGCATTAAAGCTGTGAGCAAGCGATTTGGCTGCTGCATAAATTAGTTTGCTCTGGAGCCATCCTTCCTGAGCTAAGAAAAAATGTGTGAGCTGGAGGCTAAAAAAAAATGAGAGCTAGCTCACACTAACTCAGCTTAGAGGGAACACTGGTCATCACCATAAGTCGGCTGCAGCTTGATGGCGAAAAGGAGATGACCACTAAAATTGGTAATGCTAAGCTTGTCTGAATAGACAATTGGTGTGCAGGGCGAAAAGGGAACTAGGCGGTTGGCTGTTACTACAGAAGTCAAAGAAATGGCATCTATAATAAGGCTAGTTCAAGAGCTGGGCAATTACTCCTTCCCTGTGCTCTTTTATGATTATTAATAGATGAAGAAAGGTATACATATGCTTTTGACTTAGCTTTTTGAATGCTTCCAATTACCATGTGAAGTTAAGTAGAAACACTGAAAGTTTAAGATCTGCCTCCTCAGATTACCATCTGGGCTTCCTTTGGGCTGATTTTTTGCCCCCGTGTGTTCATTATCCATTGGCGGTGTATGAAAATTGCTTTGAAGCAGGCATATGATTGGCCAATGCACATCATATTTGACCACTCTTTCTGATCCTAGTTAACTTCAGTCTGATGATTCCTGCTGTATATATGGGTGTAGTTTCTAAATTCAAGGATATTGCAGCACACCCTCAGATTTTGGGTATTGTCCAAGTAAGCCCCTTTTGGGAAAGGATGGAGGGAGAATTGAGTAAAGGTGATGGTTCAAGTTGGTGATGGATTTGTCTCAGTTGATAGGGAAACAGCCTTGGTTGTATGAAAATATATATAAATGTGAGTGCATATACCTGTTGTTGGTTATGTAAGGACAGTCTGACTCTTCCATTCCAACAAAGAATATGTCCACCTGAATCTACTTGCAGAGTAATTTTTTTTAAAATATGGGATAAGCTTTGCTTACAGAAATGGCCTGTTTGCTAGTAACAGAGCAAATCCTGAGCACACTTGGCCTTGTTGTTGGCTTTATTACCCATAGCAGATGAAAGCTGTTGAATTTCTTTACAGTTGTTTAGAATCTTGACTACTAAACCAGTACCCTAAAGAACAATAGCAGCATCTGGTTTTAGCTGGATGAAGCTTTGGAGGCAACAGTTTTATGACCTTATAGAATGGAAATGCCAATGGTTATTGGTGACATATGTCTTGCAACTTTAAAGTGTCAACTTAACCTCTTACATTTCTTTTTTAACAGAGGTATATATCCTTGATATTAAATTTAATTAAAGGGCAGTACGATTGTACTGTTTGGCAAGGGCAATATATCAAACACTTCCATTCTACCTCACTAGTGATATAGGAGGACTTTGCAGTAAGACCTATGTTTCTCTTGAAAGTTCTGTAGTTTTCAGTGAGCATGAAAGTCTTCTATAGTCCCTCCCTGCATGTACCCCCTAAAAGAACGTCAGCGTTTTAAAATATGGCAACATATATTGACTGGTTGCAATTTTCTTAATTTCTGATCCAATTTCTGATCCAAACTGCAAAAGGAGGTAGGATATCCATTGCTTTACTGCTCCTGTTCCAAGTCCTTTTAATGTTCAGAATCATAATGCAAATAAAAGAGGTGTGGGAATCCAGCAGTGTTAACAGACATCAGAAGAAATTCTTGGGTGGGCATAGCTAAGGATAAGTTTAGGGGTAATTCTCCCCCAGTACAAAAATGAGGTGGGTGTGTACTTGGCACATATTGCTTACTTCCTGTTTATGGTAACAACTGCAGGGAATTTTATGGTAAAAGCTGGAGAGAATTATAGTAGAATGATTTGGTTGAACTCTTTGTATTATAAAACAGTCTCCTACTGGGGAATGAGAGTTTTCAAAGGGGGGGGGGCATAAGTCACCTCAAAGAGAATTCTACATGTGGATGAACCTAGCAAATAGTTTGTGAGTTGAATATTCTAGAAAACCAGCTAACACTTAAAATATTTCTGGCAGATTCATGAATCGGCATTAAGAGCCAAGAACAGAAGGCAAGTAGAAAAAAGGAAGTTGTCTCAGAGGCGGATTCACTCAGCAGAAGTAGAAAGAACCTGGAGAACAAAATCCTCCGGCCCGGACAATCCCTGGATGACTGAATACATGAGGTGTTACTCGGCTCGAGCGCGGTGATTCACAGCTCGATTGGACGTCTGTTTTTAATTCAGAAAACGCTTTCCAATGCTTTCAGGATACCGGTGCAAAGCCCCAAACTACTTATGCAAGGCTTTTACAAAAGGATTTTCTAGCAGTTTGTTTTGTTGTTTGTATTTTGGTTTTTCTCTCTCTCTGCAGTAAGCAGAACTGCAGTAAACAGAACCAGATTCCTACTCATGGGAGCTGTACTTGCCCACGTAGCTTCCGGACAACTTCTTTTAAAAGAATGTCTTGCAGGAGATGTTTCCATTGACTTCCAGCTGACTTCTGATCTCTCTAGATTTTTACACTGAACATAGGTTTTTTAAAGAGCCAAAAACTCCCTAGAAGAATTCCTTGACTAATACGCTGTCCCCTTGTATTGATATAGCCTTCAACCCTGATCCAGAGAAAAAGTGATCATGAACTTAAGAGAGTTAAATTGTAACTAATATAAACTTTCTGTATTGGGTTGCTGCTACACTGTACAAAGAAGGTTGCTGTAAAAATTCCTTGAGGGGTGTTAATGCCGTTGCATTGTCATGTGATGTGGTTCACCCTGGAACAGGGGACATCTGCCTCGTGATCTGCTAAGCCAAACGGAGGCCTCCAGCACTGTAGGGCGGGTTTCCAATGGCCTCCGTCAGACGAAGGTGGCATCCACTTGGTTTGGAGGATCAGATTGTGCAGGCCAGTATGAATAGCCAAGGTTTCCTTATAGCTAGCTGTTGGGGACTGTGAGTTTGAAATACTACAGGTGTTTTGAGAATGTTGAAACTTTTCACAAGTCTTGATAGTGACTTCACGTTTACATTTCAGTTTTTGAGTTTTGTGACCATTTGGACTTGATAGTGACTTGATAGTGACTTCACGTTGAGAATTTTGAAACTTTTCACAAGTCTTGATAGTGACTTCACGTTTACATTCCAGTTTTTGAGTTTTGTGACCATTTGGACTTGTCAGTGTCAGTGAAATAGATTATAATGTGCTGTGACTGTATTTTAAGCTGCGTTTCGTTGCTGTCATAAACCCACCGTACCAAATGACCGATATAGACAATCATTAGCCCGTAGTGATGGTCTGTTCAGTGATTGATGGTAATATGGACTTGTTGCCACTGAACTGGAATGTGACACATTTTAAATGCTTTGTCTGGCTGGACCAAAATGTATTTTCTAAACACTTTTGTTATATAGTTTTCTGGAGGTTGACATTGTTAGCAGTTTCTAAAATTCTGAATTGGACTTTGCTACTAGTCTGATCTAGCTGGTGTGTATTCCACGTGGTACATATAGGACTTGAGTAGACAGGGCAAATTTGCTGTACTTCTCCAAAGCATATAACATGTCTCTGTTCTTCCTAAAAACAGGTCTGTATAGATCAGAGGAAGAAGCCATTGGTGATTATAGAATGTGACAAATCTTGGTTAATGCTTAGTGTTTGTATGTTTGCTGACCTTTTTAAAGTGTCAGACTACCAGGGCTGGTTCACCCACTAGGCAAACTAGGCATTCGCCTAGAGCGCCGGGCCCTGGATGGGGTGCCGAATTGTGCCTCCCCCCCACACCAAAAGCCCACATGCCATTGCTGCTCCCAGTTGCGTGGCATGGGGCACGCGAAAGGGGAGCGCAAGGCCGCCTCGCCTTCCCCCTCCGCCTGGGTTTGACTTTTGTAAATCCCAACATGGGGTGTTTTGTTTTGGGTGCCCAGAAATCTCACCGCTGCCTCCTTGCTCGCCTAAGATGTCTGGCCTCGGCGGCAGCAACAACAACTCCCAATCTGGCTCCTGCGCCTCCGTCTCTGCGCCACCTTTGCATTTGCAACGCACCAACTTTGAGCTCCTAATTCTCGAGCTCGGAAGCTCTCGCTGCTGCTGCTGCTGCTCCAATGGAGGCGAGATTGCTCGCTGCCCTCTCCCCCCCTGAAAGGCTCCCAGCAGCTGCCGGGCTCTCACCAAACAAACAGCTCCGCTTTGGCTTGCAACAGTCTCCCCCCCCCCGGCTGCTCTCTTAAAGGGGCTGGCGCCGCTTCAAAAGCGCCCTCGGAGTCACCCATGATGTCCGCTTGGCTCGGGTTCGCTCCTTGAGGGAGCTTTGTCCAAAAAATTAAAATGCAGGCGAATGGAACCTCCACCCCAGATCCTCTTGGCAATCAGATGCATCACGGCTGCAATCCTAAGAGGGCACTTTCCTGGGAGTGAGTCCCGTGGCATGACGGGGGACTTCCTTCCGAGTAAACCTGCAGTGGATCAGGGACCAATGGGAGGGGAGGCAGCCGAGGGGGGGGGCAGCTGGTCTAGGGGGAACGCACGGGCTTGGCCCGGGACTCCCCTCCCCACCTCTCCAAAGGAGGAGAGAAGTTGGACTTCCTTCTCTCCAGGCCCCGCTTGGAGGTTGGCAACCCTGTAATTGGGTGCACAGGGGTGGTGGTGCCTAGGGTGCCAAAAAATCTCAGGCCGGCCCTGCAGACTCCAAACTGGTGATCTGCTTGAAATAAAAATATTACTTGGAATAAAATTTTTACTGACACAGAACATTCTTGGAAGAGATTCTGCTATTGTGGCCATAAATAGCAGAATCTCTTCCAATATGGCCACAATAGCAGAATCTCTTCCAAGAATGTTGTGTGTCAGTAAAATGACATTTGAGAGGGTAACTTTTCTGTGTAATTGGTATTGATCTCCAAACACACCTCAGTAATTTTGTGAAATTTGAGCTGAGTTGTTAACTCTTCTTCTCAAGGATATATCAGGTACTCTGCCTAATGTGGACCACTTGCCCTTTCTCTGGCTGTGGTGGAAAGCTTTTGGCCTTTACTGATTTTAGCTTTTGCTCCATCTTCAGGTGTCCTTACTGCAGCTTTTCCAAGGAATGGTGGTATCTTGGCCCTTCATCTTTCTAGTTCCGTATCTCCAGTTTCACTACGGAATTAAAGCACTGATTTTGCCTGAGGATTTGTAACAATTTGTTGCATTGACAAGGAACTCAGAGGGGTATATGAATTTTTTTTTTCTTGTCCTAAAGGTCTTTTCTTTTCTAAATGAAAGGTAGCATTAGAAACTGGTTAAGTGATGTTATTTTTAAGTTCCCATCAGATTTCACTCCCCAAAGCACAATGATCACAAGTTTCCCAATAGAGTTGTAGCACTTTCCACCTGATGAATATTTGCTGTATTTTAGGATCCTTTGAAAATAAGTAGGGTACATGTAACTTGTACCAACATTTTGTGTATAGTTTTCTGAGAGAACATACAGGGTGGTTTTGCACATACAGCCATAGGTTTCTGGTTTTTTTTAACCTAGACAATGTGGTTTTGGCTGAGCATCTTTATGGGGATTTAGGTTTTTTTTAACCTTGACAATTTGTGTTTTTGGCTGAGCATCTTTATGGGGATTTATGAGTGCCATTCTAAGCACACTTAAGAGGAGCTCACTGAAGTCATTGTGACTTACTTATGGATAAACATGCTTAGGGCAGTCATGTTAGCAGGGAATGGGAAAAAGCCATCCTGACTAATCAGTAGATGAGCATATTTGGAGACCTGGGGGCTAATGAGATCGTGGTGATGATCTGAAGTTTGGAATTGTTTAGCGTATGAGTACATTTTGTTCTTAATACAACTGTAAAATGGAGACATTGTCAGTGGCATTTTTTAACTGAGATCTCTCCTTTTTTAAAAGATTAGTGAAGTTTCCCATACAATTTATGGCTCCTGTCTTCATTAACTCTGAAAGATGGATCAGTACATCTTTCAGTTGCCAAATGCATGGAGCCGTCCAGCTCACAATACCATTTTCTTATCTGCTCTTCCAGTTTGATAAACTGTCACATGGGTCTATGGTGGGAGGGCAAACTGAAACACCATTGTGAAACATAGAAGTATGGCCGGGTGTTTTTGTACTCTTACGTCTTATACCATGATGAAGTCATGAACATCGAAGGGTCAGATTTCTCTTTTTACATGGCCATACTTATGAACAATAGTGGGTTAGATCCAGCATGTGGACCATGCAGGGATTCCTGGTTTTCATAGCTTTCCTTTCTCCCCAAGAAGTCTTTTTATTTCTGGGGACACAAGACCCATGTGGAATAATAGCCATATGAGTGGGAGGCTGTGGTGGAGAGGGGTGAGGGCAAAATTGCTTTGTCCTGTCTGTCTGTGAATCTCCACTCACGGAGGAGGAAGAAAGGAACACAGCCTATGTTCTATGGAGGTTCCACAACCCCACAACCCTAGCAATAAAATGTGCAGGGGAAGGGGAAAGCCAGAATGATGAGTGATTGTTGGCACCTTCTGCTGATGGATCATGGGATCCATCTCCATTGCAGTGACTAAGTGTTCATGGCTACAAGTGACATTTTATTGCAGTTGGTGTTTATTAAGCTCCTTGTTCAAGCACTCTCTCAACTTGGGACATCCTTTTCCTTAGGGGACCAAGCAGCTGCAAGTTGGAAGGAGGTTTGATGTGGAGCACAAATTTAACACTGGTATCAGAAGAAGGCATCTCCATCTCTTTGAAAATGGCCCATGAAGAAGTCCAGAAGCTCCCACATGACATAGTCACCCCTTGCTGTTTCCATTATGGGCATGGAATTTTTCCCCAGCTGCAGTATCTGTTCTCTACTGCTTGGAGGGAAGTGTCTCTGGCTCAGCCCACTGTAGAATCCTCACCCTCCCTGAGAACTCGTGTTCTTCTTTGAGATATTTTATTTATTTATTCAATTTTATCCCACCCTCCCTGCCACAGGCAGGCTCAGGGTGGCTTACATTAAGGATTAAAAATATAAAACACAAACATACCAAGTCATAGCTCATAATAAATAAAATAAAATAAAAATAAAGTGCTAGTAGCAATAACAACCCGGTGGCCATGATAGATGTTCCCACAAAATGGCAGCTATCATGTGCCCCTGGGGAGCAGGGACCATCCCATAGTTTGAGAACCACTTCCTTTAAGCAATAGGTACTTCAACCTGTTCAGAGCCATTTCTGCATTTTTATTCCAGACTTCACTGGCACTGAAAAATAGCTTCTTGGTGCTTCTATGCGTAGATAGGGAAAGTACTGTTTTTGAGCCAGGATACAACTAGGAGCATATAATATCTACTAGCTGTATGTTAGAATTAATGTTTACATTTCCCACAAAAACATGTTGGGTTGTGACCCTGAGGTGAGCTGTGCAGGTAAGACTGTATGAGAAATACCTGAATATCTTTTTGTCTTTAACCTAGAGAAACCAAATTACAGATTAG